GTGGCCATGTGCCATAGCCATAGATAGTTAGTGAGTGTGTATGTGTGTGTGCAGTGGTTAGCGTGCATGGTATCCAGGGTGATCCGGAGTCGAGTTGCGTGTGAACTCTGAGTCGAATGTGTAAGTGTGGGCGCCCAGCGCCATAGTCAACTGAAGTAAATTCGGATTTGAGTTGAGTTGCAAGCTACCATATCTCCGAGTTTGAGCTGGGTGCACAGCGCCAGGCTATTCTCATTTGTTGCATGCATGTTTGAGTGTGGATTTGCAAGACTGATTTCAGCCTGAACATTCATGGATGATCCAGTGAGGTTCAGTTGCGAATGCCCGATGTGGGGTCTCCCCAAAATTTCAACTTGCATTCGGATCTGAACTTTGCCTGAAGCTTGATCAGACTTTGCATGGATATTGTTTTTTTTTTCCCTTCTCTCTCTCATTAAGTCTATGTCAGCCGCCCTTCTGAGTAGTTGCAGTCCAACACATTCCATTTGTCAGTCAAGTCTGATCTGAGTAAATCTCCCTACATTCTTTTTTTCTTTTTCTTTACACTAGGCTCCAATCTATTTGTGGGGAGCAGCACGAGCTGGGCTCCCGACCCACCGTCCCAGTACTTGGCCCAGCTATCGGCCACCGGAAAAAATAGAGTAGAAACGTTTCTAGTCGGATGAATTTGGGCGCTCCTGTAGTAGCCCGTACGTTTCCTAAAACAGTGGCGCGTTAACGGGCACGACTCAAGGAAGTACTGGTGGCTTAAGAATTTTTTTCAGGTACTGGGGCCATTACCCAGCTTTTGGCTGAAAAACATGAGCTGCTGAAAAAAAAACCATGCTGGAAAACGGGTTCAGCTTCCCATACCCCATGCCCAAAAAGGGCTACCTTCTTGTCCATGTGAGGGGGGTGACCTGCCTGATGGCCCAGGCTCCGGGGTGCACCAACGCTCAGGCGCCAGTCCAGGTCTCCCCCCTCGCTGTCATCATAGCTCCTACTGGTCAGTATCTTGGGTGGCTTCCTGCAGAATTTCCATCAGAGACAGCGGGTGTGGAGGAAAAGGGTCTGTGAAGTCCGGTTTCGGCCTCAGCAGGATGCTGGGGGCGACTGCCGTCCAGTCGCAAAAATGCAACTGGTAATCCCTCACCATATCAGCCTGTGGGTTATCCCCCCCCTCTTTGCCCTTGCGTGTCACCAGACCAGGACACCTCCGCCATTCAACCCCCCGGTCTTCCTCCCCACCACTCTTCGCTGAGCTGGGATATGATCCTGTCAACATCCCTCCTGGTGTGCACGAAACTCATCTTTTCATTAGGCACCTGCCACTGTTTAGTGAGCTCTGCCTGTACCAGCTGTTTCACGTGCTCTGTGACCTCACCTTCTGCCACCCTCGCGTCCTCCATCATCCGGATGTATCTCTGCCACCAAATCACCCACAGGATCGGTCTACCCAGTCTAAACATATTCTCTTGGAAGCAATTGTCTGGGTCACAGGTGCAATGGCCCGCCAGGATCGCCCGCCAATCTGATGGCCAAATAGAGCCCGGGACCATTTGCCGCCATATCCTGTCCCATCAGCGCCATAGTAGCGCTTGACTAGGGGCATTGCAAGAATATATGCTCGATTGACTCTGACTTCTTTTGTGGGGGGAAATAATGAAGACATCTACTGCACCTCGGCAGTGCCTGCCCCTGCAGCTCCAAGTCAATCAACCACTCGTTGGTCGGCAGGCAGCGGTGTGATCTGCCACTCCAAGGAGGAGATTTTTGCTGGGCTTAACTTGTAATTCCTGAACCACTTAACGGGCTTCAGCAGGCGTGTGTCAACGTTGAGGTGGCGCTGCCACCTGTCTTCCACCACGTCCCGTGGAGCCCTCTTATATTTCAGCATCTTGTAAGCCGTTTTCCCTTTCAGATTGGCCAGCATCACCGGCTTTTGCCTCCTCACACCCTCGTGCTTGGTCTCCCCCCACTGCTACTCCCCAGGGTCGAGTGGCAGACCTGCCAATGGGGTCATTGGGCAAAAAGCCCTCCACCCATACTTGCGGTGCACCTTTGCAGTGCGCCGCGCGGTGCCGTGTGCCATGCGCCATGCACACATCGGTGACGTGGGCGCACCTGCGCACTTATGCAGGAGCAGTACACCTGTGCGTCTATCCCCCACGCGTGAGCAGTGCGGAATGTGCCTGGTTTCTTTTTTTTTTTTTTTTTTTTTTTTTTTGTGTGTGTGTGTGTGCGCTGCATGCCAGTCCCGCCAATAGAAGGCAAGAAAAGAAAAGACAAGCCGTTTTCATTATCTGACACTATCCCACCGAACAAAATGCCGCATCAACGGACACTATTGATTCTAGATGCAGGGCATTTTGTTCAGCCTCTAGGCCAGTTTTTCTCACTCTCTTTTTCTCTTTAATTTAAGGGTGGCGGCCTTGATGTATATGACAGCAATTCCGTCGGTCAAAAGTACAAGAGTCATAAGGTGAGGACATGGGCCTCGCACCACTACTCTCAATATTGTTTTGTATGTATATATTTTCCTCATCTGTCTCATCCTCTTGCTACTCTATGTATGGTACGGGTGAACAACCAACCAAACCTGGAACTCTCCCCAGCCCACGGGGTAGGTTGGCACCACAGCAGTGGTGCGAGAGCAAGGCTTGTATCAGCCCCTCATCACGATGATGCAGGGTGACCAGGCATTGCCGACGGGGGAAACCGGGGATGCTAGTGCCGAGCATCTTTGGCCAGTCACTTGCACCTCCCCCGACCCCCCTCCAACCAGCGGTGTCTAATGGCCAATATCATTGCTACATAGCAACCAACAATATTGGCCAAGGTCCTGCCAATGCTGGCTAGGAGGGCGAACGGGTTATCTCTAGCTGGTAGAACACCAAGCTTGCCCAGGCACCAGCATACGTTTTGTCTGTTGTGAATTTGGTGAGTAATGGAGTGAGGCCCTATAACGGGCATGTGTAGTGGAGTGAGACCCGTTGTGCTGACCAGTGATTCCATCATTCCAAGGCCCACAAACAGAAGTAAAGGCAGACTGAGTGTATCTATCCATGTTCTCAATTAAGATTCATTTTAAACGTTTGGTGAGGGATGGAGCGAGGCCCTCACCACGTCTTTGGCAGATTCTGGCAGGTACTTGAAAACTACCCGCCCTCGTCGCGATTCTGTTGTAATAGCCCCACGACGGAAAAGATAGCAATATGAAGGGTGTACTTTTCGGCGTTCTGACTTTAGATGCATGCTTATGTTGCATAAGGCCGTTACTCACACAGCAGTGGCATAGCAGCAAAATCTGCGAATTTTGCTATCCCTATTTTGCTGAAATGCCACCCCGCTAGGTGAATCACACAAGACTTTCTGGCAATCGCCAAAATGGTGCCTTACATGGCCACACAGCACGAGGCCCAAATCATTCAACTTTTCTTTTTCAACGGAGCTCGTTTCAAAGTCCCTTTCATGAACTCTCGAACTGAAAAAAAAAAAAAATTGCTACAACCTCCAGAGGTGGTAGCAAAATGCCCCTCCCAGCGGCCCGCCAGGCTGCTGACTTTTTTTTTTTTTTTTTTTTCCCCCCCGAGTCCCCTGACATTTGATACCCGGTTTGCTACTTTCGCCACTTTCCCTGCCCCAACCATCAAATTTTTGCTATTTTGCCACAAAAGGCCCTAGTGTGAGTGGGCACTTATTGGCGCCCACTGTTGCGCGGCCCTCAACATTGTTTTTCCTTGTGTTGTGATATGTTTCCTGCACGAGGGGCAAGGCCTGCTACAACACCCCGCCCCCCAAAGAAGTCTTGAACGACCCCTATTTTTGGGTGTGCACCGCACCACGTGCGCTCACACTCATGGGCATGCGCTTTGCGCCTCATGTCCGCAAGTGGCGAGAATGAGATGCGTCGCAAGTATGCCTCCACCCGGTCCCTTCATCCAAGACTTAATTCCTGTGCCAGGTCAACGCCATAAGTGGAGTGCCTCCATGGACCTCCTATGCTCACATAGACCAGAGGCATTGGAAAACCAGCAAAATAGTCATGCCACATAGCCGTTGTGGAGTGCAACCTGGCCATATCTGCATGATGAAGCGCTCCAGTTGTTTGCACAACATTCTCATCAGGTGGTTGTGTTGTCGTCAAGAAGCGCAACAGAAATCTGGGAATCACTTCCTCTGGTGTGAAAGAATGGTAATCATGCTTCGGTGTGATAAAAAAAGTATATTGCCGAACATCACACTTTGGGTGTTGACTCTGTATGACAACTGTCACCTCGGGAGCAAGCCTTTTCATCTCGGCAGCTGCAGCAACAGTGTCCATCCCTCAAGCAATCATCAGAAGTGGTCCACCGCTCTCAAAATCCTTCTTCGCAGCTTCTGCTATTCTGACTACATTGGGCTCAGTCACACCTTCAACCATGTTTCTCGAAGACGAGGGGAATGAAGATGGGTCCCACACTGCTCATGCATCAGACCCACGTGCACTGCCTGCGACTTCTGCAGTCAAGAGGGGAAGATAGCACTGTCCAAAAAATGCCCGTTGCGAATTGAGTGGAAGCCATCACAGCAAGTAATTGAAACCCTCCCGAGGTCGATTTAGCCTCTCAAGCAGTGTATGAATCGCCCTGGTCAAGGGTGCGGACGAGACCGAGGCTCTGGTATTTGTCCCCAGCGGCGCCATTCCCGATGATGAGGGCGCGCTGAATGAGGCAACTGATCCCTGACTCGAAGAGATCTGTAACTCCCACCATGCCAATGATTCTCATCAGTGTCAGGACTCCTACTGTTGCATACCGTAAAGGCGCAGACCAGAACAAGAACCGACCTCTCTCACAAAGTACAAGATAGCATAGCGGAAGACCTAGATGCCAATGATCCGAACAATCAATGTTACAATGCAGCCCCAAACACAAATCATCATCATTCCATGGTGGGAAGGGACCTGGCGCTCACACAGGAAGAATGCGCCAGTCCCCGCCATACACAGACGAAGAAGAGGGGGGTTAGACAAAGAAGAGGGGAAGATGGGAATGTCG